ACACGCACCCGCCCGTGTAAGGCCGACATAGGTATGCACAAAAAACGTGAACTGATGTATATGCAAGAATGCATGCATGCATGCCTCCCTCCCTCCCTCCCTCCCTCCCTCCCTCCCTCCCTCCCTCCCCCTCCCTCCCCTCCCTCTCTGGCTAGCTAGTGCTCTTGAGCCATGAGTCATGACCCTGCTACCGGCTCAACACCTGAGGTTCTCGAGAGGCATCGCCGCAGGTTCTGCTGCGACGTGCGCGGAGCAGGGGGCAGGGCTGGGGCCGGACGCTTGAAAGCTCTCTGGGCTTCGGCATGCCATCTTAGCTGGTTTCGGCTTTGAGGTTTAATTTTCACCCCCTCACTAGAGGCCCGTGCGATGTGCTTGGCCATCTTGAGGCACTTTCACTATTCCGCCACTTATGCCCTAAACCCAAACACCCCAAATCATTCACCCAGTCGTGAAGCGATTGGCCAACCCCAGCCGGGAGAGGTACAAATTCAGGCGGAGCCTTTCTCTCAAGGCTGCGCCCGTCTTAGGACAGGGCGTCCGGATCACAGGGTACAGGCTGCAGGGCCAGGCTGTCGAGCCTGAATTGCATTTGCTGCATCCAGGGCTCATGGCTACTGGCGCCTTTGGCATGTATGGTTGAGTTTTGTGTTTGCAGCTTTTGGCACCCGGTGAACTGCAAGCCACGTCTCGGGTAAGAGCATCTGCAGGGAATCCTAGATCAAGCCAGGTAACCCCGTACGCCCTGCACCATGCACAAAGCCACTCCAGTTTTCCATGATAGATGCATGACACGGTCCGATTTGTGGCTTTGAGAAGCTGCCAAGTTTCGGCAAAAAACGGAGACAATTTTGATATCAGCGACGCTCTATTTCCCCGCAGCCCTTGAGATGTGAAGCCGGCGCTGAGTCCTGAAAGCCGGACTGCAAAATCTAAGATCGCTATTTAGACCTCACTCCTCGAGTCTCGAATGACTCAATCCGCAACTCAAACCCTCCGATCATTGTGGCAAGCGGTAGGCCGCCATTCAACGCGTGACTCCTCACCGAGCGCACGAAAGGCTTTGGACGAAGGGGGATGGTTACGTCTGGTGACTGTTGCCATGGTGATTGTAAAAGTGTGGCCTGAGATTTTCTGCTAGGTGAGACTCCTGATACGGCTGTAGAGCGATATGATGTGCGAATATGGAATCGTCTGCTTGTCCGAGGAATGTAGAGATGCCGAGCGGTGATTTGAGGTTCTTCAGCTGTCACACTGACCTGTCACTGACCTCATTGCTGCAGTGCCAAGTGACTTACGTTTCCTCAGCCCCCACATAAACGCCAGACGCAACAAGCTCCTTTGCCTATAGGTACTGTACTGTACAGGCAAGTACGTACATACTTCTGAAGCAACGTCCTGAACGGGCTGCAGGCGCATGGAGCATCATTACATATGTGTGTTTGCGTGGGCATAAACTGGTGGATACATTGTCCGGCGCACGATGGTATAGTTTTCGGCAGCTTACATCAGCAACATGGCATGACATGTGTGCATGCGTGCACGCACATACATACATACATACATACATACATACATACCTACATACATGCGCACATACAGACGCGCACACGCACGCCCGCATGTGCAGCCGGATAGACAGACATGGACATACTTTTCCAATACCTAAGAAACACTCTGTCGCGGATGCAGGCATCAGGCACCAGCCTCAATTTGCTGCGCGATGTGCGTACTCCAGAACGTACTCCTTGTCAAGGGTTCGTAGGCAGTTGCAGAGAGCCGTCCAATCACTCAATCCCAAACTCAATCGAGTTCTTCTTTGCTAGAGTTTCTGTTGTTTGTTGGTTCTCCTTTTCGGAGCTCTGGCTTGCAAGCGTCGAGTGAAGTTTCTGTTCAGAGCGCGCCGGGCTGAACTGGCCTGTATCATGGGCTTCATAAGTCTGGGTTTACTCTTACTCCGCTATTCGTCTACTCGTCGTCATGGACAGGCAGATCTCAGATCCAGGGCCTTCGCGGAGCCTCAAAGTATCGTCAGCCAATGTCAAACCTGACCTCTATGATGACCTTAAGGGGCATCCTCGGACCTCGGATTGCATGCCCAGTTCTGGAACACGAACTTCCCGCAAGACTACAATTGGCTGGAGGTGCGGAAGCGACAGGTCAAATAGGATATTGGTTAATTTGCAGTAAATGTAGAAATGAGTTATGCGAAACGGAGCCCAAGACATCGGAAGGTCAAAGGCTCTCAGTGCTTGGGTCAAAGAGGCTGCAGGTGTCAGGTTTTGTGCTGAGGCCAACGATTCTGGAGGTTGGTCTTCATTAACAGATTGGTCTATGTTCGGGTAAGTCACAAGCTGCACCAGAATGAAGCCAGGTTGGTGCACGGATACCCTAGTTCTCGATTCCGAAACGAAGCCTACAGCTTCCAAGACCGCCTTCTTGGGCCCCACCCCCCGCTTTGAGCCTGGATCTCCGGAGAGCCTCAATACGCTGAGCTCCCTTTGCTCTCAGCCATTCTCAGCCCACAGCCCCGAGCGTTCTGCTTCCAGCCGGCCATCTGGAGCATCGCCAAGAACCTTTCGCGAGGGATGAAGTGCAAAGACCTCTCCACTCTCCAGGCACGGATGCAATTCTGTCGGAGCCAGTCTCTCGTCATGCGTCGCTGTAGGCTTGCAGTATGGTAGAACTCTTGCAGCTTCAGTGCTTCAGTGTTGATAGCTTCCGCCGCTCGGTATCCATTCCCTCTTTCCGTGCAGTGGCTACTGCACCATCAAGACGATCAGCTCGTTTTATGCTGTTAGTGCCGAAGTTTGTTGCCAACTCGTTACATAGAGAAGCGGGAAACGCCGCAGGATTTTTTGCCTCTTTTCTTCGTTTGCGGTGCCTGCGCAGGCCTCAGTGTGCTGCGAACGTGAAGATTATCCAAAAGAGCCCCTCAGCATCGGAAATCCCAAACCTTCAACTATATGTCCGCCCGAAGCCCTGCAGTCCGAGAAAAGTCCTCAACGTACGGACTTGCCGAAACTGGTCGGATGTGGATGAACATTCCAGAGCTCCATGAGCCTTGAGCTTTCTGCTTTCTAGCCTTCGACCTTTGAATTCAGTGCCAAGGTCCAAACTCTTTTTGCGGCATGCAGGCGCGACTTCGGACGCGTTCACCGATTTGCTTCGTGAAGAGCCCGATTGCTTCTCCCTTCCAGCCTTAGAGGCTAGAGCTGATTCCGTTTCTGCTAGGTTAGTGTCCAGTTTGGCTGTCTGCATGCTTGATGGCTGTGTTCCTCCAGGCCTCAGGCGATACGGGTTGCTGATAGATGCTGATTCATCCCAGAGCCTCGGACCGCTTCAGGCTGTCATGTACAGTGCCTCCGCCGCAGACGCTTTTGACATTGACTTTTGGTGGGCTGCATCCTCAGACTCTCTCGCTTCGCGAGCGGCGCCGGGCAATGTTGCGGTCTTTCAATGTCATCACTACCATCAGGTTAGGGCTCGCACCAGTCCGCTTGTTCTCTGTTTCTTGCTGTTTGGCCGTTAAGGTCGTGAGGTTGGTGTTGGCGGTTGTGGTAGGGGTGGGGTGTGGGTAGGTGTTTTTGTGTTTTTACAGTTCGATACTCCTGCTATTGGAGACATCTTCGGAGGCTTCAAGCAGCCGCAAATCACCTGAGTCCCAGACTCGATACCAAAGCTGCAGCTCAACCATCAGCCCACGCCTTTGCGGTTTAGGACTAATTAGGCGTCTTAAGTCTGGCTTCTCGAGACACCGACCCGAGCGTCGAGATAAGTTGCACAGATTTTCGATGTTTGATATCTGTCTTTTGTGGATGGCTCTGCTAATAACCTTTGGCAAGCATCCGCTAAGTCAGCAGGAAACGTTGCCTGCCACGCTTGCTTGCCCGCTGATTCAAAGTGATCTTGCGGGCTGCAGCGACGCAACAGAACATGGTGACATTACCACGCCACGACACCTCTTCAATCAGGTAGGACGTTCGTTGTTACATGCCTCTGTATGACCACTGCTGGTTCGTTGTTCGGCATTCTGCGGATGCACAAAGTAGGTACCACGGTGCCATGCTCTGTGGCAGATTTTCAGGTGAAGCCACGCAAGGAGGACCCACAAAACATTGAGACAGAGACGCTCTGCCGCCATGCAAAGGCCGTTGGGAGTGTTTTAGGGCCACAGCAACTGCATGGACAGATCTTCCAACCAATGGCGGGTGGATGCAGCTATATAGTCAGGCAGACTAGCAGACTAGCAGGCACCATCCTAGTTATGTCTTCTCCAGTAGGTCAGCAGAAGCAAAGCTGTTGTCAAAGGCCCCACTGCAACTGGGCCAAGCTACCCGTGCCTTCTGCTTCACTGTAATTAGTTGGAAAATGTGGGGGCGGATATGTGATAGTGCCGGTGCAGTCGGATGAGAAAGTGCCCTGTTTCGCGCCAGGGCCCTCACAAGAACGATCCTGGCAGGCTGGCTTTGCTAGTACATGTCAGAGTCCGCACTTCAAGTGCATCTCAAGGTTTAATTTTCCGTGTCAAAGATTCAAGATATTTGTTTGTGTGGTCTGGGTCTTCAGAGTAAGGTTGAATCAGATTCGGCTCCGATGCATTTGGACTTGGCTCGAAGCCTGTCTGCTGTCTTGGTTTTCGATATGGGATAAAGACGGGCGGCTTCACCGAGAGTGTAGAGTCTGCAGAGGGCGACAGGGGAGCGCAAACACTGCCAAGAAGCAACCCCCTCAAAGCAATGGTGGAGGCGTGGCACTGCATTGCCGGGGCTTCCGAGTTAAGGATTGCATTCAATGTTTTTCTCAGGCTGCGCATCTGACTCCTACAGCGCCCTGAAGCTATGGTTTGCTGCATCGTGTCAGGTCCAAGCAGTTTTACAAGCCAATCGCGGACCTGTTCACCCAGAAGGCCCTAGGATGTCGGAAAGCTTGCCGAGAGAACCCTTTCTGGAATTTCTGCCCCGCACCTTAGGTTTGCTCTATTCCAGTACGGGTACGGGAGATTGCTAGAGTCCAGATACGGGGCGCCATTGCAGACTTTCCGGGCAAAGGTTAAAGCGGTTTAGCCCGGAGACAATGCTTCAGTTTTGGTCCTAGCATCCTTGCACTGCGTCCGTTCATTTTACAAGTATATATAGATGTATGCACGGGTCTACTTGTTCAAGCTGTCCATCAACTCGTCACCAAAGACAGATTCTGCGGCAGCTCACCACGGCAATGTTTGTGTGCGTAACTTTTCTCTCTGTCTCTGTGTCTCTTCCTCTCTCTGTGTCTCTCGTCGACACAGCTCTTAGTAGTCAGGCATTCAAATTGCCCATGTCTGCGTCTTTGCGCATCTTCGTTCCTGCACGTACATGTTCAGGCGAATACCAAAATAGCTATTTTGCTCGGAGTGCAAGATCGGCATGTTTGTTGCTTGCCCTTCCGCCGTCGGTTTAGTCTCGCTTGTCCAGTCCCACATGAACGCACTCTACTTCGGAATCGAGGAGGTGCCTTCGCCACCGTCTCAGTCCTTCTGGCAACAGAGAGCTCCTTGAGGTATCGAAAGGCCGCCTTACTTGGCACGACATCGTCGCCACATTCCTCTAGGAGTGGTTTTAAGGGCGCTTCAGGGCGTCGGCCTTAGGTCTGCAGGTGGTGGGTTGCACGACGGCAATATGTAGTGACAGGTGAAAAGACCTTTGCTCAAATACTCGAAGATTGATGCACAAGTTTTTCGCCAGCCGCAATATGAATTCCACGCCGAACAGTCTAACTTTCAAGCCGCGAACTCTGAACCCGAGGCCGACCAAGCTTGTTTCGTTAACTATCTCAAAAAGTGGCCCCGAAACGCAATCGCAGTGCCGCACCATCTATGCCATCACTGCAACTCTGCAACATCATCACTGCCATCGAGCGCTGACCTGAACAGGTAGATGCTCAATGCAGAAGCCTCAACCCCAAACCAAGCCAGAAAGCCTTCACCCTCCAACCAAAAAGCTTCACCTCTACCCCCTCGCAGCCTTTGAATTCCTCTTCCCTGAAGCTGCCCAACGCCTTGATCATGTGGTGGAAGTCAGGCCGACAACATCTGGCAAGGCCCCGCGTGCGTACATCTACCAGGCCAGCAGGATAAACTAAGAGGCTCACTCCCGCGCTCTCTCTCTCTCTCTCGCCTCTCTCTCGCTCTCTCTCCATCTCGCCTCGGTCTCTCTCTCTTTCTCTTTTTCTCTTTCTCTATCTCTTTCTCCGTCTCGCCTCTGTCTGTCTCTCTCTCTCTCTCTCTCGCTCTCTCTCTCTCTCTTTCTTTCTGCCTCTCGCCTGTGTCTCACTCTATTTATTTTTCTCTTTCTCTATCTCTCTCTCCCTCTCGCCTGTGTCTCTCTCTCTCTCTCTTTCT